TACAGGTGCATCTCAATGAATTAGAATGTTGTGGAAAAGTTCATTTATTTCAGTAATTTAACTCAAATTGTGAAACTCGTGTATTAAATCAATTCAGTGCACACAGACTGAAGTAGTTTAAGTCTTTGGTTCTTTTAATTGTGATGATTTTGGCTCACATTTAACAAAAACCCACCAATTCACTATCTCAACAAATTAGAATACTTCATAAAACCAATAAAAAATTTGTTTTTAGTGAATTGTTGGCCTTCTGGAAAGTATGTTCATTTACCGTACATGTACTCAATAATTGGTATGGGCTCCTTTTGCTTTAATTAAGAAAGAAATTCAGTTTGTGGCACTGCTGAGGTGGTATGGAAGCCCAGGTTTCTTTGACAGTGGCCTTCAGCTCATCTGCATTTTTTGGTCTCTTGTTTCTCATTTTCCTCTTGACAATACCCCATAGATTCTCTATGGGGTTCAGGTCTGGTGAGTTTGCTGGCCAGTCAAGCACACCAACACCATGGTCATTTAACCAACTTTTGGTGCTTTTGGCAGTGTGGGCAGGTGCCAAATCCTGCTGGAAAATGAAATCAGCATCTTCAAAAAGCTGGTCAGCAGAAGGAAGCATGAAGTGCTCCAAAATGCTCCAACTCTGCTTCGTCCACGGTGAAAGCCGATCCGGCGAACCACAGTGCAAAGTTGTTGTATTTCTTCAGCGACCAGCACGGATCGGCTCTAGGCATGACGAAGCGGATATCGTCCTCTTTTGGAAGACCAAACAAAGTAGTTTCGCTTTCACAACGAAACACACAGCACCTTCATGACATGGCGGCGGCGGCAACAATACTACAGCGAGAATAAAAGTTACGCCTTCTTTCTTTGCGTGAACATTTGGGCGGCGTTATGCAAATCTTCCCACATCGTGATGTAGATATGTGGGGGCGTGTTAGAACGAGCCGTTTTAGGTAGGCGTGGCTGACTCTTAACTTTTATAAAGAATATCTCTTTGGATTTGAGACTTTAGTCGTTGCAACTTTACAGATCTTCTTTATGCACCAAGAGCTTGTAACCCTCCAAAGAGAAAGGAAAAATTTTAATCGCATCATATGACCCCTTTAATGCACAAAAGTTTCTTGTGAAAAGTTATTTGGGGAACAAATCAGAGCATTTATGAAAAAAAAAACATTTTAAGAGTGTACTACAGTAGTGTGTGTTCTACAGTAGAGATAGTATACAGTGTATGAGAATACTAAAGTTTGTACTCACAATCAGTCCCGTCCTTTTCCGTGCACACAGCATGCCACACAGTCCACAGATAAGAAACTATTAGACAGAAAAACATGATATTTGAGCATCTTAATAGAAATGAATTGAATGAAATATGTGCAGAAATGTGACAAAAACATACTGAATTCAGATTACAGAAGAGTCACACCTTACATGAACTGAACTGGACATGAACACACACAAATGAGGTTCATTTATATGAGTTAATGATGGAACGATCTCACATACATATCACAACCTCACCAAATATCTGTGAAAACACCATGAGTCTTATCTGACATGAGTTTTGGAGCAAACAGAAACAGTATTTAGAGTATCTGTGAAGTAAACAACTTTATGATGAACCATTAAACCATTCAAATACATCAGAAAGTGTGCCGCTAGGTCAGATTTCCTCTACAAAAATGACTGTACTGTACAATGGTACAATGTTGATACCAGTTACATCAATACATGAAATAAAAATGCATTTTATGGTATGGTACTTAAAAAAAATGCCATGGTACTACAATTGTGAAAAAGAAGTGAGCTTCATTGTTTTCTAATCTTAAAAGTATCTTTCTAAACATCTGTACTTTCAGATAACATAATATTAATGAAATAAAAGGCCACTTATGTGTACTTAAAGAGAGACACTTTCATGACTTTGTTACTTAACACACTTTAAAAAGTGACCTTAGTACTAACATCATATCAAAACATTAAAATACATATTAAATCATTATGGTTTTTGTCATGCTTTGAAGAAACACACGTATTTACTAATATACTAAAGCATATGTGAAGTACTTGATTATAATTGAACTTCAATGTGTTATTTGATATTACATTAATTGCAATATTCAAAGACAATATAAGCATGAAATTACATTAAAAAACACACTTAGGTCCTATGTAAGTGGTTCAAAATGCATTTAATATAAATTTAAACTATAATACATTTTTAATCAAAGGCAAATAACATGCAATTAAGTATCCGAAAACATTGCATTCAGTTCGCACTTAAGTATATTCTTTTAAAGTATATTATTTCCATAATAAGTCATATTTCAAACAGTATGCTGAAGTCTACATGTTTTAATTCACAAAGGTGAATTTTGGGTTATTTTGGGGAACCAAACAAAAACGTTTTGGGAACCAAAAATTGTTAGCTGGGTAGTACCATGGTGACAACAAAAAAAATGTAACAAAAAATACTACACAAACATTCAATGCCTGAGAGTTTTGATAGATTCGGATCAGTTATTTACGCTGAAGAAGACTAGAGAAGAGAGACGTACACACACTCCGCTCCATAAAGGAGAAGCGTCGCCCTGCTGGGTCTTGTGCTCCGCTTTCGCCCGGCAGATGCCCACCGCGCCCAGGGCGATGCTGGACACCCCGAGCCCTATCTCCAGCACCGACAGAACCAACAAACTCCAGATGATCTTCCGGCTGGAGCACATCTTCGCTCGGGCATCCTTCCTGACCGGTGCGCAAAACGCTTCACTCCATGTCTTCACAGATAAACCAAAGGCATAAAATCCAGGTCAGTTTAAGTGATTTCTCCAAAACAGACCAGTAGCTCGTGTATCAGTGCGCAAAGATGCTCTCCATGATGTTTCACTTTACCCTCCTCCTAACTCTGTTTACCATGCTTCTGCTCCTTCTCCATGCGATTTCCCTCAGTTAGACAGAGTAAAGGCTCCGCCCACGGTCACCATCGAATTTCTTTACAGTGCTGCAGTGGAGTGGCACTAAAATAGTTTTATAAATCGTTGTTCGATTATATACTTGACGTTATTCGTTAGAACGGTAATTGTTCCAAATGTTCCAAATCTAATCTGGCAGGAAAAGTTGCGATTCTGTCAAACAGCGGAGCAGGTGTCCTCGCGCGCATATGCGCAATGGTGCGTAAAAGCGCTGGTTGTGGTAAATGCGCCCCGGTCAGTTCATTGCATAAAACCAGTGAGTTGGACACCTAATGGCACATATCAGCACAGCGCATTAAGACACTCAATCACATTTTATTAGAAAGGGTTTGAGTGGACCGAATCCATAATACTGCGCATAAAAGTCCTTTTTATAGGATGCTGAAACAAAAAGCACGCTTTTTGTAGCGTTTGGATGCTCTGTGATTATATTTGTGGAAGTTCCCACGCGCAATTGATTCCTAAAAACATTTCCAGCCACAATTACAGAGAAGAAACATGACCATGCAGTGATTTCTTTGTAAACGCTGATGGAAACCGCTGTAGAGCTGAGCATTACAGTGCGTTTCCTAGAGCAATAATGAACATTATCTAGAGCTTTTTGTTATCTCAGATCACACTCACAATAAATGTTTTGTTTATTGCTTTAAAATATCACTTCCTCACTGGTTGGCCAGAAAAGTACATTTCTTTTAGGGGAAGAAAATAGTAATAATTGAATTAATCTAGCTAAATGGCCTCTCTAAATAAATTCATAACCATGGTTGTCAGTGTGTCTGCAGCAAATCACAAACAGTTCATTCCTGAACCTAAAACAGCAACTTTCCGCAGAAGGATGTCTGCGTTACTGTAACAACAGAAGGTCTAAAGCAAGCAGAGCAGAATGTTATTGTGTAGTTTCACTGCAGTTATAGACCTATTTGAGGTATATTTCTATCAGTTTATATTACATTTGAATTGATGATCTTCAGTCAGCAGAAAACACACAATATATAAGAAATATATTAATATATTATATTAAATATATCACTTTAATATATTGTTTAAAAATAAATACAGTCAAACCAAAATTTATTCAGACACCTTCAACATTTCTCACATTATTACAGTTTATTCGCTGTAGTTTAGAAAATGGTAATAAAATATGACAAGAACTCAGAGTTAATCTTGATATCTTGATAATGTCAGATAACACTTAAGACACTTAAAACATGGTCAGGTCAAAGAGTCTGAATCATTTTTGGTCCCAAATTTGTATCAGTTTTACTGGTAGTCCACTGTATGCAGAATTGTTGGGTATAATATGTCACAGTTTACTTTATTGTGCTATCCTCACTTACATAAATTAACAATAGTGTCCTGCACACACTAGTAAAAAAATATAAAAAAATTATATCTGGTGTCTGAATCATTTTTGGTTTATAACTGTATATAATGGCATTATTTTGCCATTTGTGTCCAAGCATTAAAAAGGCTTTAGATCATGCAGGTTTCATTCAATTCAAAAATGCTGATTGTGCTGTCAGGATATCCTATCTGTGATATAATTTGTCGCACCACACCGAATCCACGGTCTGTTAATCTGCTCGGGAACATCAGCTGTCCGAAATTTGGCCATTGATTCGATAACAAGACGCCCCCGTCTGTCTGCTGAGTCATCAAACTAGCACTTATTCTGTGTTTTCCTCCCTCTCTCCCATGTTTGCAGGGTTTTGGGAATGTGAAAGTGCTGAACTGATTGTCAGTTTCAAGACCCGGTTGTGACCGGCGATCTAGAAATAGCAGGATGGTGATATTTATAGAACCTGCGACCATGAGTAAAGAAGAAGGAAAGTACAGGGTGAGTTGTTTGCACTTCAGGTACTTCTCACACAGTTCTGAGTGCAGTGTTAGTACTGTATTGTCCAATATTTCATCACTTCTTGTTAGTCACATTGGCATTCTCAATGCCTTCAAGCACAGAGAAAGTGCTTTTTAGCCACAAAAATGATGTAGTTACAACATCAACTAGCAGGTGATAACTGGCAAAACTGCTAACCAGCTATTTCTTTCTCACTTTCTAGCAAAGTCAGTAAGATGCACCAGAATGGATGGGGGTCTAATGCTATTTCATGCATTCTGACTTATTTACACTGTTAAAGAGTTGGATTCTCATGCTAAACATGGGCAAAGTTTCAAAAAACAAGTATTTTTGTGCCAAATCTCCTTCAGGGTTTGTATCCACCTTATTTTTCCCGTAACATTATCATATGTGAGCCTGGAGCACAAAAGCAGTCTTAAGTCGCTGGGGTATATTTGTAGCAATAGCCAAAAATACATTGTATGGGTCAAAATTATAGATTTTTCTTTTATGCCAAAAATCTTTAGGATATTAAATAAAGATCATGTTCCATGAAGATATTTTGTAAATTTCCTACCATAAATATATCAATACTTAATTATTGATTAGTAATATGCATTGCTAAGAACTTAATTTGGACAACTTTAAAGATGATTTTCTCAATATTTCGATTTTTTTGCACCCTCAGATTCCAGATTTTCAAATAGTTGTATCTCGACCAAATATTGTCCGATCCTAACAAACCATACATCAATGGAAAGCTTATTTATTCTGCTTTCAGATTATATATAAGTCTCAATTTCGGAAAATTTACCTTATGACTGGTTTTGTGGTCCAGGGTCACATATGTCTTATTAAGCAGCATCAAACAAACAATATACTTCTTTTTCTCAGTGATTAAAGATGAAATGAAAAGTTTGAAAAATGATTCAGTGCCCTGTTGAGAATGTCTTGTGTGTTAACCGGGAACATACTCTGAGTTGACTGAACTTACTTTTTGGAACCAGCATACCTCAAAGTAAGCAAGTTTTGGGTTAATCAACGAAAGTTCAGGGTATATGTGACGGTAATACACCCTTAGAAAAGCAGTTGGCAAGTGAGGAGACCCGGACAGCAATGGTAAAAAAACAACAACACCAAAGTAGGGGTGTGTGATATCACGATTTTTGATCGTGCACGATTAAAATGTCTCCACGATCTGCTTGTAATAAGGTCAAAAACACACAAGGTTTACATATAAACACAGTTGGTTATATCCAAAGTGAAAGTAAATGGATACGTGTGCCTGTATATTAGATGCCTGCAGGTCTTAAAGTGACAGCAGACTAATTGCACTAAACATGCTGAGACTTGTCATTAAAGGGATAGTTCACCCAAAAATTTAAATTCTGCCATTATTTACTCACTCTCATGTTGTCCCAAACCTGTATTCATTTCTTTCTTGTGCTGAACACAAAAGAAGGTATTTTGAAGAATGTGGGTAACCATACAGTTGCTGGTCTCCATTGACTTAGATAGCAGGAAAAAATGCAATGGAAGTCTATGGGGACCAGCAACTGTTTGGTTACTTACTTACTTATTTTCAAAAGAAGAAAGAAACTAATTCAGGTTTAAAACAACTTTAGAGTGAGTAAATGATGAAAGAAATTAGATTTTTGGGTGAACTATCCCTTTAATGTTAATAAAACAACAAAACAGAGAAAAATCACTCACTGCTCTTTAATAAGAATCAGTGTATAATTTATACAGTGAAGTGTATATAGTATTTTATTTTTATATTTGTTCATTCAGTTTCTTGCTAAATACACCTACTGTACCTGAAAATAAAGCACTGTTTGTCTTATTTGTATATTATGTGTATTTGTAACGTGCGTCTTTGTTTTTATTTTTTAATAATAAAGATGAACTAACGACAAAGATTTTTATCTTCACCCACTTTGACCTAAATATCTGCCATTGTTTTTTATTTTATATTTTGTTACCTTATAAGGCTTTTTTTTTCAAATAGGGTAATTAGTTTGGCTGTACTGCTCAGACAACTTGCAAAACATTAAAACCAACATGACAAAAAATCGTGATAAAAACCATGATATGATATTTTTGCCATATCGCTAATCCAAAGGAACGTTTCTTCACTAAAGCTCTCAACTTTGACAAAGTCCATCATTTATTTGAACAATAATACTGAATTTATGACTGAACAATGGCTTGTTGTAAATAGCTCAGAATGATGTGCAATGCAGCACTAAAACCTAAACAGTAGAAATAAACAATAGAAATAAAACCAACAATTAATAATTTCTTCAAAACGGTTCACTGTTGGTAGTTTGTTTGCTGAAATAATTAAACCAACAAAAGGGTTCTTTTTTTATTATTTTACTTTGTCATTTAACCATAATGTTTTAATTTTAAGTGTGATAATAACATGCTCTTGATTTGTATTCAATTTATCTTTATATTTAATTGTATTGTATTTATAATATTTTATTTTGTCATTAATTCTTTTATATTTTTAAGTTGTTAAAATGTCATTTTTCTTACTACAAGCTTTATATTTAATTTGTTTGGATGGATGAAGTCTGTTCTTGGGCTATATGGTTGTTTTCACTGACAGCCCCAATTTTGCCTTGTTTAAGCCTAGACGTCAGGTCTGTGTTTGGACGGCTAGCTAATAGAAGTCTTTGAAACGAAGAATCGCTTGCTGGGTAGCTTGACATAGTGGTGTGCTTTCAAAGCAGTGCTTCGTGAAGCTTTGAATCCTTTACGAATCATTTGTTTCGAAGCAGTGGTTCAGAGCTCGTGTCAAACTGCCAAAGTCACGTGATTTCACCAAACGAGGCTTCGTTACGTCACAACTGTTTCGAGACGGATTTACTAAAAATAAATACATAAATATGATAGTTAAAAATCACAAATTAACCATGGTTTTTCTACACTAACCATAGTTTAACTATGGTATTTGTAGTAAAACTGGGGTTATACAAATGATAATCTATACACCAAAAAATAAACATTATTACTAAGTTTTTACTAATAAAACTATGGTTGATTTTTGAATCGGTTGAATCTTTCTTTCTTTCTGTTTCTTTGTTTTGTTTTCATAACTGTACTGCCTAAAGAGTTGGAT